GTCGCTCCAACTTCCTTGACACCTTGAGTGGAGTTTGGGAGGGACTCTGGAGAGAGTGAGGCTCAGAGGCTAAAGCAGGGGGGACTGGTGATCAGGACTCCTGGGTTCAATTCCAATGACTCGCACCATGACATTGGACAAGCCGCTTCCCTTCTCTCTGCCTCAGTTCCTCCCTGGGGATGAAGGGCCCAGGTCACCTCTCGCACTGGCGAGGAGCCACTCTGCTGAAGTTAACAGAGCTACACTGGCATAAGGGAGCTGATATGAGGCTCAACAGGTCTGACCAAGGGGTAGCCAGGGTTCAAGAATGTGCTTTGAGATCCTCGGCTAAATGTGCTAGAACAGTGGTTCTCAATCAAGGGTACACATACCCCAGGGGTACGCAGAGCTCTTCCGGGGGTTCATCAACTCATCTAGAGATTTGCCTAGTTTTACAACAGGCTACATGAAAAGCACTAGCCGAGCCGGTACAGACTAAAATTTCACACAGACAATGACTTGTTCATACTGCTCTATGTACTATCCACTGAACTGTAAGGACAGTATTTATATCCCAATGAATTTATTTTATAATTACATGGTAAAAATGAGAAAGAAGCAACTGTTCAGAGCCTAGTGCGTTGTGACACTTGTCCGTTTACGTCTGAGTTTATGAGCAAGTTGTTTTTAAGTGAGGGGAAACTTGTGCGGGACACAAGACGAATCAGACTCCTGAACGGGGGACAGCGGTCTGGAAAGGGTGAGAGCCACAGGGCTAGAACAGAGTCCAGCCGCTGACAGCAGCTCAGACAGGGCTCATTCGTCTCTTGAGCTCACTAAGCAACGGGCTCTCCTTTAGTAACAGAACGGCGCAGCTGTCTTCCATCAGGGCTCACAGTGCTGGGGCAATCGCTGCAGTACAAGGTGTGACCCCCCTCCATGCAGTATCCCCCCATCTCAGTTAGCCATATGGGAAGGGCAGGGTGGCCGTGACTCCCTGACAGCTGTTTGTGATGCCCAGGTGGAGGGGCCCTGGGATAACGGACAGCAGCTCCCTCCTGATGAGCCTCTGCTGGGAAGGGTCTGTGCAGCTCGCCGAGCAAACCTGTGCTCAGCTAACAGTGCCAGAGGTTCGGGGCGGAGGGTGGGGGACATCGGCTCCGATGTTCCATAAGGCACCTGGGTGCAGGTGCCCTGGTGCTGGCTCCCTGACATGTTTCCAGCGAGGCGGTGCCCGGCCAGAACGAAGACCACGATGCCGTGCCTGACTTGCGGATAGGTGGGTGGAAAAACCACTTGTGGTGGCAGGAACACTGCACGGGGGGCTGGCCAACGCGCATCCAGGCATCGCCATGTGGGGGGCTGGGTAAGGCAGGCGTCACATCAGGTGCAGCAGCCTGGCTCTGAGCACAGCTTCCCCACCTGTTGGCCGCTCAGAGGTCCCCTGCACGGTGCTAGCCAGGGCATGAGTCACTCTGCCCATTAGAGGCCGGCTGTGGGGGTCAGACCCTGTGTGCCTGGGTCACCAGCGCCAACATTTTCCCCGCTCTAGACGACGGGGATCTGAGGCAAAGGGAAGCCCCAGGGTGCAACACACAGAAATGGTCTGTCCTCTGCATCGTGGCTTCAGAGGGAAGCGAACCAGCGGGCGGTTTGCTTTAGATAACCGCATCAGTTAGATTCCCGGCACGGGGCTATCGGTTGGAGAGGGACGCACGGTCCTGTTTCCCTGCTGTTACATTAGGCCCAGATCCAAATTCACCGCAGGGCGAGAGTGAAGCGCATGGAGCCTTTTCACCACGTCCCAGATTTTACATAAGAGAATCAAGAGGGTGTGTTCAGCTAGGCAGCGTCTCCAGAGCCAGGTGTGCTTACGTACAGTGCACGTGGCTATAAAATGACTCCCACAGAACTGCAAGGGCCCACACATACCAGCCAGCGCTCAGAGATACTGACAAGGTGCCATCCTTGCGTGGACACACACGCACACACGCAGTCTGTATCAGATACCAGCTGGCTGCCAAGGTCAGCCAGCTACATTTCAACCGGGGCCACTGAAACCTTAAATCTGGAGTCCGTTTTCCCAGTGGCTCAGCATTAGCCGAGGAGATATAAACTGCATTCCAGCCCACATAATCCTAACACACACAGACACCCAAATTATACACACACATATTACGTATGCACTGACACGCTACACAAACACACCTGGCTGTCATGTGAACACACACTTCTTTTACATAAGCTGAGGGCCTGATCCTGACACCTTTACTCATGGGGGTAAGGGTGACGCAGCTGGGCCCTTCAGATGTAAGTGGCTTGGGGCAGGGACTTGGGTCCCATTATTTGTCTGTACAGCCCCATACACACCAGCTGGGGTCTCGAATCACTACTGTTATCTGACATAGTATACCTGTGGGTAGGGGCGTACAGGCTCTTTTGCGAATCCCAGACTAAGGGAATTGGACACTCAAGTCCTGCTGTATTGCAATAGGGGTTGGGTGCTGAATTCTCTTCAGATTTTTTGAAACTTCCAAGCCATCATCATCTTTGCACCCACACATCTCCTGGGTGAGTTTTAAGCCTGATTTGGTGCTGCCCTAACTGGTTCCCTGGCTATTACCCAGTGGGGAGAGTTACTTTCCCATCCTGGTCAGCACTGGGGTCCCGGCACACAAGATCTCTTTCCTAGTACAGGGTGGGTGTGTTGGCTGAAGCACGCCCTTCGTAGCTCCAGGAAGGCCGAGACTACCGACTACTCCACATTGCGTGCAATGCCGGAGTAACTCGAGCTAGGTCCCTTCTCACCCAGATGAGTGTACACATGCTGTATAAATGGGAAAGGAAGCTCCTCCTACCCCCCCCCCCCTTTCCGATTTTCCAATGACAGATCTAGGTCACTAGGACAACTTCTAATACTTGCCAAGCCCACAGCACACTCTTAGCCATGCTGGCTTTCAAAACAAGAGGCCAGGAGCTTTATAAAACCAATAGGATTATACAATGTGAGCCTCGCGCGTCTCAGTCTGCACAGAATGCCGTCCTAGCTAGTTGAAACAGGGAAGGGTGAGGAAAGCCACAGAGAGAACAAACAGCTGAGTATAATTAATAGGGAAGGGTATCCGTACACAGGAGGTGGTAAAAAGGCAATTCAGATCAAGACAATTTTTTATTTGAATTCAAACGGAGAACCCAACCTGCACTCGCCAGGTATCTCGGGCCACCCATCCTCCACTGGCGTAAATCAGCGTCACTCCAGACAGCCGAGACAACTAACAACCCCCCAGGAAGGAAACTTCACCCCCCTGCTAATTAATTGCTCAGTGTTTATGCTGTGCTTTGGCCATGCAAAGTGCTACCTAATGTCTAGGCGTTGTTACTAATTGGGAGGGCGTTAACACTCTCCTCCCCGTCAACAAGCCTGGACGTCAGGCCGAGAAAGAAAAGGCAATCGATGGCCACACGGGCCCAATTCCCCATCAGCCTGCGCCCCATGCTGTCAATGTACCCCCCTGCGTGTAGAATGCCATTGCTCTGATGTGGCGACATTTTCCATCCACCTCACGCTGGTGCCAATGGCGACACGGGGCGCAGGGAGATGGAGAAAACGAAGACCTCTGCGGCAAGAGGAAAATCAGGCCAATATGTATCTATGTAAGGAGTTGTGTGAGGTTCGTCACACACACAGTAACGTCCAACAGCTCCTCAGATAGCCACCCAGGGAACACCGATCCCAGGAAAGTCACCAGAACGTGATGGAAACAGAAAATCACTTGAAAGGAGGAAAGAAGTCGGCACAACACGACCATCACACTCTATACATCTACCGCGGGGGGACCAGCAGGAAGGGTCCAATCCTCAGCCAGCGGCCAGCAGACCCTTTCTACGCTTCGGGGGCAGAATCAGTCCTGAGCCTTACAGCTGTATCCATTACTTCCTGCAGGATCGTTCCCAATGCAATCTCTCGCTCCTCAATCTTCCCCCCCTTGCACCTAATTCGTTTGATTCCTATTTTCATTGTTTTAAAAAAAGGAAGGCTTTAATAATAACAACAGAAGGGGGATTTGAACTGTCAGATCGTCATGCCAGTGGCTTCTGACCAAGTCAGATATTATCAGACAAGTGTACCCTCAGATGAAGACTAGCTCCCCCCCTCTTTCCTCGTATGAAATCACCTGCTTCAAAACACTTTTGCAGCCTCCCCTTCCATCCCTCCTGTAAAGGAAAATAATCAAAATCCTTAATAATCACCAAAAAAATCAAATTATAACAGGAGCAACATATTGAAAAGGAGCTTAAGAGCTTTTCCTAGCAGTGAAATCCTAAGTGGGGTCTAAGCTGGTGCATAAAATGGAACAAAACAAATAAGAATTGGATTCATAATCACAAACGATTCAAACCCCCCCTCTCCCCGCAAAAAGTCAGATTTACCCATATGCATCTCCACGCAAATGGACAGTCAGTTTCAAACCCCTCCTAGCAACAAACAACTTTAGCAGTAGAAAAATATTTTCCCTTGTCTGCTTTGCCCAGAGCCTAAAATACTGTGCAGCTCTTTTGGAGTATAGAAGAAAAAACCCACGATTCTGTGTGTGTTCTGAGCGCCAAGCGATGGGTGGCTGTATCTTTTGTCCAAATCCCACAAAAACAACCCTATTGTCAGGGAAATGTGCACCGTAACTTACAAAAAAAATTACAAGAAAGAAAGTCCAACCTCCCAACCCCTCAGGAATATACATAAACAGGCTAAATCTCTCCAAGAGCTCTCCACACACAGAGACCAAACAATATACATTACAAGTCACACTCTGCAGTCTGCTTTTTCAAATGCACTTTAAAAAAAAAAATCTTCCAGACTTTTTTAACAGTCACAAAGGATACAGTTCTTGGACTTGGCTATCCAAGTTGAAGTGATGCACAGCTCAGTGTCTCCGGGCTGCTAATAAGAGGAAAAGGGTCATCTGTGTGACCAAGCAAAAGTTGCCTGCACTGTAGACACGCATGCATCATAATAATCTTACCTCGCATCTTGGGGCTTTCTGGTATTAGGACTGTGTTGAGAATATCATGAAAACAGGCAGTGCAGGTGCCTAGGACAGCAGCAATTCCTTCGATAAATCAAGTCTCCAGGATTGGGTCCTTGTTCTGTGGTGGTGTTTTGCTCTCCTAATTATGGGTAAGTGACTGGATCTTCCTCTTCAGCCACTCTAGGTACCTGCCCCTCTCTCTCTCTCCCTCTCCCTCTCCTGGGCTGCTAGTCCCTGCTACAGCTCTGTTAACCTACTTTCGGCTGGAGCCTATGGAGCATGTGGAAATTCACATGACAAACCCTGCTCAGACCCCGCCCACCTCGAGTCAGTTTCACTTTGCGCCCCGCCCCCTTCTCTCTCTCTCTCTCTCTCCTGCATCCTCAGCTCCCTGTATCCACTTTCTTAGACATATTTCCTCTTCTTACGCCCTCCCCTCTGATATGAATCAGGCCTGGTGGCTGGCTTCTTTTTTAACGCAGGGGAAATGAATGAACAGGACAACCGGGGAAAGCCAGAGGACCTGGGCAAGGGCTTGTCATACCAGGCCTGCACCACCAGCCACCCACGCGTACCCTTGGATTACATGGAAGGGCCTGATCCTCCCGGCAGTTTCTCCCACAAGTAGGTTTATTCCAGTAGGTAGCCCTGCTGAAGTCTAGGGCCTGTCCTGGGCTTCTCAACTTCTTTTGATGTCACCGTGCCTGATCCCTGCCCCACTGGAGCAGAAGGTACTGGGTATGTGTAAAATGATGTGCCAGCCCTGTAAGTGCCTCCTGCTGGCTGGGCATGGCTCTGCAGAGACCTGCCTCAGTTTCCCCTTCTCTCAGGGCCCTTTAAGAACTCCACACAGCCCACAGGTGTAAGGCAAAATTGCCCTGCAGGGGTTTTACTCTATTAAGTCCTGTTAAAGTCTCTTCCGCCCAGACTCAAAATAAAGTCTCCCTGGCCTGTCAGGAGGCTACACAGCTCTGCTTTCTTGGGGCCTGTGTTTCTGTGCTCTCAGCAGCTTCCCCACCTGCTTCCTTCAGGACTCTCCCAGCCGCTCTCTATGTCATTCTTTCCCTGACCTCTTGGGGCTGAGAGAAAGCCACCAGTAGCGGGCCTTGCCTTGCTCCTCTCTTGCCATGTATAAGGCCCAGCTGCCTTCCTGCAAGCCCAGCTAAGCAGCAGGTGATTAGTTCAGGTGCTCTCGTCCCACTCTCTCTTAAAGGGTCCTCCACCCACTGACCGTGTCTCTCAGGATCAGCCTTTCAGCATGGAGCCACACACGTCAGCCCGAGTGTTTGCAGCTCCAGGCTCTGTAACATGCATGCAAACATCCGCCATCGTCAATTTCTCCCTTCACCTTAAAATCCATGAGGGGGACCTGTCCAACATTAACACCTGAGACTGACAGAAAGGGAAAGTTGTATTTAAAAAAGCCATGGATCGAGGGCTAAAGAGTGCATCTGTGCCTGCGTGTTAGCGGCTACAGTTGTCTTTCTATAAGCTGTGCTCTAGCTGAGCTGCAAGTGATGGGCTCGAGGCAGGAATCAGCTGTGAGATTCTCGGGCCTGTGCCACCAGGTCAGACTAGGCCAGTGGTTCTCAATCTATTTACCATTGTGGGCCGCATATGCAGCTCTCTGTGCGTTGTGTGGGCCACATCCACAGAATATATACACTACCTGGATGGCCCAGAGGATGTCGCACGGGCTGCAGCTGTGTGCTGATTGGGCCACTAATGGCCCGTGGGCCATGGGTTGAGAACCATTGGACAAAATCGTCAGAATGGTCCTTTCTGGCCATAGAACCTAGAAACTGCTTATTATTCCACAACGCTTAAGAATGAAACATTAAGAGATTATAATGAAACATTGCTTCCCTGTACTCCCCCATCTGTTGTCTCTTGTCTTACACTTAGATTGGAAGCTCTCTGGGGCAGGGACTGTCTTTTTGTCCTGTATTTGTACAGCACCTAGCACAGGGGGGTCCCGGTCTGGGGCTAGGACTCCTAGGTGCTACGGTCATACAAACAATAAATAATCCTAATCATGAATCTGGGCCTGTATAATTAGTATCTTTGTACAAGAGCCGAGGCTAGCTGCTGTTTCCTAGAGCCAAGAGTGAATGTTGCGGGGTGGAGGTCACTGCTCTGTGTCCTCCGCAGCTTCGGAAGAGACCCTGACGTGTGTGAGCCTGCAATGCAGCACTGCAGCAGAGGGTACAATACCAATGGGATCCCATGCTGCATGCGCAATGGCATTGCTCCAACTTTTGCTTCTGTGTGACCTGGTGGGGGTAGCCTCTGGCATCAGTGGCTACTGCCCCGGGACATTTTTATAACCCCGACCCATGCCAGCTGACTGGGACCTGGACACAAAGATCAGACTTTTATTATTTTATTATCCTGTGTGCCATTCCTTAAAACAGTGGTGTCAGCAGTGGGATAGCAGAGCGTGAGCAGTCATGTTAAATAGAAACTTGTCATCTAAAGTCCCTGGCAGGCTTGGAAGTTCTCCTGATGTGCTTTGCCATGCTGGGGAGTGAAGTGGGGGGATAAAGACTGAAGGATGAGTTTAATATGCCCTATTCCCCTTGACTCGCTGTACTTTGCCAGGTGCAATGCAAGAATGCTAGTTCCAATGGCAAAACAAGGTGGGACCATGGAAGGCTGGTCTTCATGGCCTGGCCCCAGGTTCATTGCAAAGCTCTGGTAGATTCTGGGGAGCCATTCTTCAAATGCTGCAATGCTTACACTAGTTTATTAGATCACGGGCAGGGGCAGGGGTCAATAGACTTTGAAACAGAAAGGGAGACTGAGTTGCACCAGACAGGGACAGGTGGGGGAGCTGTGAGGGATGCCAGGTGGGGGAGTTCCCATCTCCCTGCTCCCCCTACTTCAACTCCCAGACAGAAAGACGAACACTGTAGTGCCAGCATCTGAGAAGCTTCTTTAGCCAAAGGATGACTCACCTGGAAGCTACGCGGCAGGAAACCAAAGCCAAAGAATAACCACATCAAGAGGGACCAGCAGCTCTGCCCAGTGTGAGGGAGAGGGAATGACAGATCCCAGAGGGTGCAAGGCAACCTGCCCAGGTAACAATCCCGGCATCCAGCATAACCGCCCAAGGGCCATTCCTGCAGGATGGAGAGAAGACATCTGAACAGTCTCAAGAATGGGGTTGGGGGAAGCTCTGCCACTGACCTTGCAGGTGACCTTGGACAACTCCCTTGTCCACTCTCTGCCTGTTTCCCCTCCTGCCCTTTGTCTATGTCAACAGGAAGCTCGCTGGGGCCAGGGCTGTCTCTCGCTATGTGTTTGCCCCACACATTGCTGGTTGCAAATCCATCTGAGCTCCTCCAAAAGAAGGGCAAACTACTAGCCCAGAGCTGGGGGGCGGGGGTTGGGATGGCTTGGGGCCTGAGCCAAAGCCCAATGAGGTCGACATGAGTATTACCACTGGACCAGGCCTTCAGAGCACTGGAAAATATACGCTGGAGCCAGGAAGCAATGAGACCTAGCAGCCTGCGGAATAATCTCCTTGGAGAAGTGCTGAAAGCTCCACGAGATTGGACAGAGCAGTGGAGAATATGGTGCATGGAACAATCCTGGCAGGGAATAAGTGTCTGAGTCTCTACTACGGCCGTAGGTCTTTCACAGCCCTGGTTTCCGTAACTCTGGTGGCTGGGGACTTTACATTATACCAGCCTCAGTGCGAACCCTGCCCCAGATCAGGCAGCCAGGGCTGTCCCCACCCCTTATATAATCTGTTCCACACAGATTTATTTCACCCGTGACAGTAAAGTCTTACCCAACGCGCTCATCAGCTAAGTACAGCCTGGAATGGGTTTGCCATATGATCATGTGCAGTTCCTGTGCAAAGGCCCTGGGTGCGGCAGGGTGCTGAGGCTTGGAGGGGATAATACCCACAATAGTTTCCTTGGTCAATGGAAGGGAGAGAGAGGAGATTTGGGGGAGGAAAGGAACTTGGGGGCAAAGTGGCTGGGGGAAAGGGGGGGAGACAGAGGGATGTGGTAGGTGCATAGGTGGTACAGGCTTAGACCTGGGTTTGAATGTTGGTCTAGGTCACAAGGTGAGTTTGGTGCATGGACCTCAAACAGCAAACAGCCCCCTTCCCACGCTCAGTTTGACAGCTGCTCATGGTGAGGACTATGGTCCTGATTCAGCAGAGCACGTGCTTCAAGTTAATCTGTCCTGAGTGAGCACAGGATGGGACTATTCGAGGGCAAGCAGTGTGGCCTAGATTAGGACTCAGGAGCCCCCAGTCCTGGTTTGTCAGCTGGGTGACATGGAGCTAGTCACTGCCTGGCTCCGTGCCTCAGTTTCCCCTTCTGTGAAACGGGGGTGATGATACTGACCTCCCTTTGTACAGTGCATTGAGATCGCCCGAAGAAAAGAGCTAGGCAGTATTACCACTAAAATGGTCCACGTTCTTTGCAGAATCAGGCCCCCGGCAGCCCTCAGACACCCATGTAAACACATATGGGCAATTAACTATCCCCTGACTCCCCACCGGCCCCCGAGGGTTTCCAGGACAGGAAGTGAAACACAAAGTAATGGAAGTTGTGCTGCCCTGGGTGAGTGGAGTACACAGGCGCTCCCAAAGAAGCAGAGCCAGCACAGTGGAGGGAGGGGCATCGAGCCCTGCTGTCCTCAGATGCTGCTGCCTATGATTTTGCTGAGGGCAAATAGGATCCGATTAATTTCTAACGCTGTTCGAATTCGCTCTTTTCCTCCCTCCCTTTCGCCTCCTCCTCGGAGCCTTCTCCGCATGGATAGACACAGACGTAGATGGAGGCTGACACATCCGCTCGGTATTTATAGACTATGCTTCCACCAGAGTCCTGAGAGCGTGTCTCGTGATTCTGGCAAGGTAGTCCTGGCAGCTCAGAGAGAGGGGCATTCCCGCCATGGAAAAGCAGTGCTGAGAGCTTTTTAAACTCCCAACCCACCCTGAGAAAAAGCAGGTGATGATCTTCGCCTCTGTTCTGAGAACAAACAACAGGAGAGTCTAAGAGAACAACAAGGAACCAAAGCAGTCTCCATAAGAGAGAGCACAGTGTGTGTTTGCCTTAGCACAAAGTGGCCACAGACAGCAGAGTCCTTAATTACACCTAGCTCTTACATAGCGCTGTCCAGCTGTAGCACTCAAAGGGCTTTACCAAGGAGGTCCGTATCATTTATCCCCATTGTACAGATGGGCAAACTGAGGCCCAGAGCGGGGAAGTGGCTTGCCTAA